CCAGCCTCCCCATGTACAGAGTCTCTGTCTGCTGTGTTTCACGGATTGCCCCCCATACTGCACATGCATTCCATCCGCCCCCCCACCCCCCCACCCAGAGATGGCTGCTTGAGCTCCTAGAAGAGGACTGGGGTGGGGGGTCGTTCTCCAGTCTGGGTGCTCCCAACCCTCCCACAGACTCTGCATCGGCTGGCAAACCTCCCCTGTTTCAGCTGTTCTGGAACAAAGCCCAGGGCAGGGCCCCACGGACACCTGGCCTCGTCCATCCCAAGAAGACAAAGCTGGGAAATCCCCCTGCCTGCCCCGCGCTGGGCGGCCACGTGTCCTGCCTCTGGGACAAGCGTGTGGGCTCCAGGTACAGGGCTCCCAAAGTCAAGGGTTTCAGGTCACACTGGCACATCATTTTGCAAGCAGATGCCACGGGTCTCTTCCCAGACTGGGCAGCAGGCAAGGTCAGCGTCAGCAGATCTGACCCTAAAAATAGGCTCTTGGATGTCAGTGGAGGTGGCCGGGTGTGTGGCTGCCCCACGCCACACAGACCAGCACCTCCTGACCCGACCAGGCCCCAGCGCACCCAGGTAAGGCCGTTTGGCGGGGAGGCTGACACCTCTCGGGTCCAGTCGAGTTCTTTGGGGGCCTGGGTGTGGGGGTTAGAAGACCCCTTTCCACTCTGTTTCTAGAATGGCAGAGGATAGCCGACATTCTTTTAGTATGACAGGCTTCTTGTGGCCCCATCTTTCTCTAGAGGCTCCGTGGAATGTTCTCAACTTCCCTCCCTCTCGATCTGAGCTTCCAGTTCGGTGACCATTTCTAACGGATAATCGGGTGGGTCAAAGCTTAGCGGGCCCTTGTGAGGAATTGGATGTACTGGATCACATGTCATTTTCCAGCTAGGTTCTACATTTGTCCATTTGGCCAGCAGAGGGGAAGGAAATCTCAGCGGGAGGGAGAGAGAAACACTGCAGGGACTCACATCCTGTATAGGGCAGCACAAATTACAAATACAGGACTCAGAATTCCAGGCATGAGAACTCTTTCTGTGTTCTGGATTATGCTAAGCATCATTTGGAAAGAGTGACCATTTTTAAAGCTTTTCTCCGTCCTGGTGGGAGGATGAGGATGGGGATGAGTGCCCTGGTAGAGAGGGGGAGACTAGGTCACCAAGGGGCAGAACCACTTGACCAAGACAGCAGCATGTGTAGATAAGAAGGTGGGAAGCCATCCTGCCTCTCAGACCAGGGCTCTCCCTGTAGACCCTGGTGCTCTTGTCCTGAGGCCCAGTGGCTCCTCATGGGCCTGGAACCTGAGAGTTGTGGGGAGTCAGTCGGGGGCTCTGACTGTTCTGGAAAGCTGAAAACGTTCCAAGGGAAAAGGCGCCCAAGTCAGAAGGAAGGGGGCCTGAGTTGTGTGCGTGGAGAGGCCTCCTCACTTCGGGCCCCAGCACCCGAGTGTCCCTGGTACCTGGTGTTTGTTCAGTTGTCCTGACCTTTCGCTTATGGCCCCCTCTTGTTCTATTTGTGAGAAAATCACTTGGGTCCCACCAACGACATTATAAATAATACTTGAAGGGCCTCTGAGCTGAGATCTGTATAAGGAAAGAGCCTTGGGCCTGGGTTTCGAGGGTGGGTAGTGGGAGAGGGTCTGAGGAGTTAGGGGGCTCTTCACATCTGTGCTAAGGGTGACGAGGGAGGCCATGGTTCGCCACCATCTGGTAGGCTGGAAGCCCTCCCTGGGAACATTTCAGTCCTGGGGTGTCACTGGGTTGGAAGGCACTCTGAGTCCTGTCTGAGGGTGGGGTTCCTGTGGCTCTTGCCTACCCCACAAGGGATGAGGAGCAGAGCAGGGGCACTGAGGCTGGAGGCCTGGCTGTTCGCATTTCCCGTCACCCTGCTGAGGCCCAGCTGGGGCCACCTGGAGTGGGGACCATCTGCCCTCCACGCAGTGGGGGTTGGCTCTGTAATGTGTCCTGGTACTGAGAACGTGTCCGGCATGGTTCCAACAGCTTTTCTTGTTAGTATGAACTCATTTCCTCCTCAGAACTGCAACAGCCCTATGAGGGAGGCACCTCATCATCTCCATTTTCAGGTGAGGAAGCTGAGACACAAAGGAGTGGGGTGGTTTGTCCACGTCACACAGCCCAGGCAGTAGCAGAGTGTACCTTCGAGTCCTGCAAGTCTGAGGGCATGGGCACTGTGCTCTGGTGCCCCTCCGTGGGGTGGGGGCGGGGCCGACATCGCACTCCCCTGCTTCCCCAGATGCCGGACCGCCCACCGGGGCCCGGCCCCCAGGGAACAGCCCCTCCAGATGGCGGTGCCTGGGGTCACAGCTCCATTTGTCCTCTGCAGCCTGACTCCACGGCAGACGGTGTTTGAATTTTTGCGTCCAGTGACCCTTGATGGTCTGGGCCCCCCACTTCCACAGCAAATAGAGGGGCGAGCCTCATAGCAGCCTGGCGTGGCCGCCAGATGTCAGCAGGCTGGAGAGAGTCCTTTCTCCTCCTCCCCAAAGCCTTGCTTATACTTTGCACGTGAGCGAATGAGCCCCATCACCCACGGGAAGATGTTCAGGCTTATTTATGCCCCATCTCATCGTACCCTACAGAGACCCTCGGCCCTGGCCAAACGGCTCTGCCTCCTATTCCCTACTCTTGGCTCAGAACTTAGCTCCCAACACAGTTGGGAATTCACCATCCAGCCTCCCCATGGCTTCCTTATCCCCTTTCATGGAACATTTTCTGATCCCCTGTTGATGTGCCAAGGACTTACATCATCTCATTTAGTCCAACAACCAGTGATGTGGATATTATCCCCATTCTACAGATGAGGAAGCCAAAGCCCAGGTTTGTTAGACTCCAAGGCCAGCAAGAGCTCTTTGCATGACTGCACACTACTCTGGGATGCACCTTAGGGGTGGAGGCCCCAGAATGAAAGGCCCAGGCCTGCCCTCAGGAGCGTAAACCTTGTGACCAAGAATACAGTGACCTTCTATTGACAGGGGTGGGGATGCTTGGCTGCCTGGGTGGAGTCCCAGTCATACCACTTGGTATCGTGGTACTAACCGCTGACCCTCATTTTGCTCATTTGTGAAGTGGGGGCAGCTATTCGCTGTCTAAGAGGTTTGAGAATAGATTATCACTGGGTACACAATAAAGGTAACAACTGTATGATTATTTCCCGGGGTCCTGCCAGGCCTTGATTACTCAGTGAGCTTTCATGGCAGCTTTAAGAAGTGAGTACTTGGCCCAAAGCTCTCCCAAGGCCCAGAGCCACCTCTGCACAGTACTGAGACAGGCCTAGTGAGTAACAGAAGCCTAGACGGGGAAATGGAGAGGTCACAGGCCCATGGCGAGGGCTGCACCCCCACCGTCTACCCCTCCTCGTCTTTTCCCCATTCACTGAAGCCTCATGTTCTGGGGTGATGCATAGTGGGAAATAGTTTTTGAAAGCTGTGGACTAAGAGGCCATTTATTCCTGAATTCATGAGCTGTGAAATCTCCTGCAGTATTTCCACACATCCTCAGAGGAGGCAAAAAGCCCAGCTGCTTAGGAGTCAGGAACCACAGCTGGCCTGGTCAGACGTCATGGTCTCTTGTCCCCTGCACCAGAGCCTCTTCTCCCCCACTGGGGTCCAGGCCGCAGAGGTAGAGTCCATCCCAGCCCTCTCCCATGTCTGAGGAGGAAGCCGAGTACGGGCCTCCAGCCTCCTCATGGTTTCCGGGAGGCTTAACTCTGCCAAACCAAGATTGGGGAAATCAATTAGGAGTTCATAAATTACCACCCTGAAGCGCTTTGAAACCATCTGAAGAGTTAATCAAACAAGTTATGACATCAACACCATCACAGAAAGAATATTAAATTACCTCTTTAAATGAAGGCTTTTCTGTTTTTTTAATAAAAGGATTTTCTATTAATTCACATAATTGCCTCCTGTTAACATGCTTGCCAGAATCGAAAAGAAAAAAAATCCGTTAAACTTGGATTGTGTCAGATATGTTAGGAATTAAATTATAGGCAACAGAAATTCCCGGGTTTTCACGTCTGGGTTTTAATTTTTAAAAAATCCACAACTTTTATTTCCTAGTTGGGATCATTTTTATAGGTTTAAGATGTGTAAAGACAAGCAGTAACTTGCAGTAAATTAAAAATGTGTTTATTTATATACGTACACTGCTGCCAAATTCCAGCCCTCCACATACCCCAGCAGAAGGTATTACTCTCCTACTAGAGTGACTTATCCAACCACAGTAACATTTTTATTCTCCCTCTTCTTTAAAGGCGCATTCCAAGCCCAACTTGGGTGGTGTCACGGAAGAAGTGTGGTGTGCACGCATTTAAATTCAGACTAACTTTCCCCCATGATCCCAATGCACTAGGAAGGGAAATACGCAATGTACGCATGCGCACCCATACAGGATGACTTCAAAGGGAGAGGAGACTGTTTTAAGATTACTGTAGAAACTGCTCTACTAGACCAAAAACTTCTAGAAGGCAGAGATATCTCTGGCCCAACCCATACCTGGTGCTTAACAGAGAGGTGTGTGAGGAAAGCCTGGGGGTGGAGGGCAGGGCCAGGCCTAATCTGAGGTGAAGTCAAAAAGAAAATGAGGCCACTCCTCATGCCCATTTGTGACCCACTGGAGCACCCCTGATGTTGGCTACCTTAGGCTAAAGCAAGACCAGGTAAGGCAGTTCAAGGATCCCGGCTTGGGCACCACGGGGCAGGGGAAGGGGGCTGCTCTCTTCACCTGAGGTCTGTCTCCAGTCAGAGGGGAAGGAAGTTTCCCTCAGAGGTGGATTTACCCCAAAGCTTCAGAACCCCACACTTACATGGGCCTCTTCCAAGGCCCTGTACCTATTAGTTTTCCTTCCCCTTCTTTTCTTTTCTCTTTTCTTTTATTGTCTATCTATCTATCTATCTATCTATCTATCTATCTATCTATCTATCTATCTATCATCTATCTATCTATCATCTATCTATCTATCTATCTATCATCTATCTATCATCTATCATCAGAGAGAGAGCACAAGCAGGGGAAGGGGCAGAGGGAGAGGGAGAAGCAGGCTTCCCGCTGAGCAGGGAGCCCAATGCGGAACTTGATCCCAGGACCCTGGGATCATGACTTGAGCTGAAGGCAGATGCTTAACTGACTGAGCCACCCAGGCATCCCTAGAATGACCTTCTGACATGACCTAGACCTGGCTCTGCTACCAGAGGCCTCAAGGAGGGCATGGCTCCGTTCGGGGAGCTCACACTTACTGGGAGGGCACTCAGGGCCATGGGAACACTGGCCAGACCTCATCCTGAAGGTCACCTTCCTGTGCCTTAGCCCACAGGTTTAGGGTGAGCATCTACTTTGTCCAGAACAATTCTAATTTTTATTTTTTTATTTTTATCATCATTTTTTAAATTTTATTTTACTTTATTATGTTATGTTAATCTCCATACATTACATCATTAGTTTCTGATTGTCCAGAACAATTCTAAAATAGAACTTTCACAGGCTTTTTCCCCCCTTCATATACTCAAGTGATACATGTTCAACACAGAAAGTTTAGAATAGATTGTTCCTTAAAAAGAA